TTGATATTTTGTTTTTTGACATCACCTCAGCATAGGATTTATTCTGGGTGGAACTATATGGTAAGTATAGACTGTGACTAGGTGGAGTTCATATGGCAACTTCTTTCAGAAATTACTACCTGAAGCAATATGTTGTAAGAGCAACTTGAATGTTTCAACAAAGACATTTATGGCAATGTTATAACTGGTTGTGAACAGTCACCTCTGGCTAAATACTAAACTCAAAACTTTCCTATACCCAAGGGAACCAAATAAGGGATCCAAAAATAATAATAATAATAACAACAATAATAAATAAAAATAAAAAAGCAACAGGCAACTATAAATCAAACAATTACTCCAATGTCACTTTTAGAATAAGATCATAAGCAGGAAATCCCATTTTTCTGAACTTGATTAGATGAATTTGCTTTATAAATTTACATATCACAGCCATGAAGTATATAAATGTCACAATCAATGTGATAAAACTTGCATATGCATATAGTTTTAAGAAAGTATTCATTTGGGGGTATAAGCTTATTTGTTAACAAAATATAAAAAATACATATTCATTTTCAGAAAATGCTATTGAGTAAGTACAAGGGAATGCTAATAGGAGTTAACAAAAAATAGAAAGCAAAACAATACCCTTAACTTTTCAGAGCACATATTCTTTTTCTATACTATTGATATAGATCTGTGCTCTTTCCTCTTTTTAATTCTCTTGGTTCTCTCTTTCTGGATTTCAACATCCACATTCCATCCATATTTTTAAATGCACAATAATTTTACCACGAAAGAATCAGAAGATTCAAATTCTATATAATTAAGTATATTTTGCATCTTACTGTTCAATTATTAGTTTCACTCAGCACAAATCGCATAGGACTCTCCAGTCATCACCTATTTCACTTTTTACAATCCTGCATAGCTCCTCAACCCATGCTTCCAGATTCCAATTCTTCCTTACTAATTCACTGTTTCTCTACCACACTTCTCATGATCAGTCAGCTAGATTAAACAAGATTTGCCTCATCCTATTGACAATGTAATACGCAAAACTGTTTTTAATCCCATCCACACTAAAAGCAGACATGACCATGAAAATATACACTACAATACTAAGTGGAGTATAATTCACAGAAGGCACTGGCTGATGCTCTCTGAATCCACCAGCCTGTTCCTGCTGAGACGACACTTCTCATTGGTAGTCCAGCCAATGACAAGCCATGGGAATGCTGAGGCCAGCCATAACTTTCTTATAACTCTGCTGCAGTCTAAGACTGTTCCAAGCAACTCTTCTTTTTTCTTTCTTGCACGCTGCATTGTGATCTCACAATTCTCCCCACCACCTCTCAACATCCTTCCCTTTTTCCCTGATGGGTCCTCCCTGAATAAATCTCTTGCCTGTCTATTATACATCCCATTCTGGAGTGTGTTTCTCAGGAGACTCAGTCCTGTGCATCTCCAGCTCCATAGCCAGGCTTTCTCTCTCTCTCAGTCCCACCCAGTTCAGCAGGCCTAGCAATAGCCCATATGAAGTTTCAATTTCCTATTACCAAGTAGTTATGACACAAGCAATTTGCCCACATTGGATAACTCAGCATTGTTAAATAAATCCCTAATGAAAATTCATTCTATTTGCTTGCCCCCAAAATTATACAGACTAATGTGAGGTTTTCAGAATAAGATTGAAATTTGTTCAAGAGGCACATATTGATTCAGGGAAGGTTATTACTTTTATTTTCAGTTATACTTAAGAAATTGAGCACATACTGTATCAGGTTCTATTCTAGGCACTAAAGATAGTACATTGAGAAAAATCCTTACCCTCATGGGAGACTGAAATATAAATGGTGATCTCATAACCAGAGTATTTGTACTCAAACACATAACAGAGTATTTGTACTCAAACACAGCTTTCTTACCACAGCGTGAGTAACTCTCCACAAACATATAAGCAAAAGAAACCACACAAAAAGAGTAATGCTATAGGATTCCATTTATATATGGTTAAAGAATCAGCCCAAATAATAGAAATCATAACCAACATTTCCTCAACAGGGGAGAGTGGATGAATATTGTCTGGAAAGGGGCACAAAGATTAACAGCAATGTTCTTAATCCCTATTGGCATTACCCAGTATACACATTTGTCAGGATCTATTAAATTTCATACTTGAGAGCTGAAACATTTTACCACATGTAATTATATTTCAAAGAAGAAAAAGTGATGGGCCTCTGGGGTTAAAGACACAGCGCTATCAAGCTATGCCAGCCACTGCAACGTTAGCCAGAGAGCTAACCCACACGCTGCAGAAGACCTCTCCTGTCTCATCCGCTGCTCCCCTCAGCAGTGTATTTCAGTAGATCTGCCTGTTCTGCTCCCCACCCTGTTTCTGGTGAATCCTCTCACCCCCTGCACCTCTGGCCCAGTTCTTGTATGCAATAAACCTTTAAAAAAAATTGATTTTGCAAATTTCTGTTTTTATCACCACATTCATTCCATTTATTGAGGGCTTCAATAGCATCTTTTTTTTTTTTTTTTTGCCATGAGGTTGGACGTTTATTTTTTTTTATAATAAATTTTATTTTTATATTCCCCCATACAACTGCCCATGCCCCATTCTGACCCCAATCCCTCCCCTCCCGCCCCCCACCCCCAAAAAGTGTCTCTGGTTCATAGTTTTTTGTTGATTTTGATTTTCACTTTCTTATAGTTATTCATTTTCCTGATCCCTTATTTAAGTTTTCTAGATTCCTGCTGTGAGACCATCCGGTATTTTTCTTTTTCTTTTTGGCTTATTTCGCTGAGCATGATCCCTTCCAGCGCCATCCATGTTGCTGTAAATTGCATGTGTTTATCTTTTTTGAATGCTGAGTAATATTCCATGGTATATATGTACCACATCTTCTTGATCCAGTCATCTGTTTTTGGGCATTTGGTCTGTTTCCAAAGCTTAGCTATTGTAAATAGTGCTGAATAGCATCTTATTTTTTATATTATTTGTGTTACCTATTTTTTTGTACTTTTTAATATTTTCTCCTTGACAGATAAGACAAAAGGAAAACAGAATCCTGGCATTGGATTCTCTTTAGCACTGGTTAACTTGTCTACATGCCACATATCTAGAAGCCAGATGATTTCACTTCTGTTGATTATATTATACCAAATTCAGTTTTAAACCAGCCTTGCCCTTCATACTTTTAAATTTCGCCCCTTACCAACCATTTTCTCAAACTTCTTTTTGCTTTAGTCTCTAGCTTTTCTAACTCTATTTCATTATTATGTCTTTTTTTTTTGGTTCCAGTTTATGCAGACACATTTGTTTAGTTTCATAATTCTAGGTATAATAAACATCAGTTTAATTTAGGTTTCCTCTCTTTTCCTCTCCAATTGTGATGATCACTGTATTTAGCTGTTTTTAGTCAGTTGGTCATACTCAGTTTCTCCCTTCTCAAATCTGCTTCCCAAGTAAACAACTATTTTGCTTTTATGATTGCAAGATGTGCAGTTATGTTCCCATTACTTCCCCATTATACACCTGCTCTTTTTTATTAGTTTGAAGTAAGAGTAGAATAATATTTCCCTCAATATGTATACATTTTTGCTCTTAAATGAAAATCCCAACACATACTCTGCTTTAACAGAACTTTTCCTCTAAATATAAAAGCAACAGTGTTGCTGATTTTCAACTACATCTTGCCTCAATACCACCATCATTCATGTCTTCCCATTGAGTAAGCAAGCTAGAATTTATGTCCTCACAAATACATCTGTTTTTCCTTTCTTTTTATATAGAGAGAATATTCCAATATTATTTTAATATTCATAATTGGACAGCCTTCTTAACACTCAGTTTCTGTCACTATTAAATCACTTTTCCTAAAGAAGTTAGAAAGGAACATATTCAAGAACAATACATTCATTTTATTAATGGACCCTGTTTCAATCTGATAGATGAAAATCATACTTGCTCATTTATTTCTTCCAAACTTATTTCAAATGCATATGTACAAGAATAAAAAGAGCTAAAAGTTTAATCCAATATAATTACAAGTAGTTCAGGAACAAACAAGTTAAACATAGTTTTGAATTGTAAAGTTCTGACACTATGATATAAAATTTTGAAGTAGTATAGATACAGAAACTTTCTAAGCATTGAAAGCATCTTTTTAAGTTTAAATTATATAAAATTAATTACTCCTATTTTGAAATACACATACATACACAAACATTTAATTTCTAATTTTTGGAAAGATGGAGAAGAATTGATTATGAGAAAGGAAAATATTACTATTGAGTAATAAATCCCCCAGAGAATGAAACATAACAGTTTATTTTCTTTTCTGTCAATCTCCTTATCAGTTCATACTATGTCTGCTTTGAAAGTTCTTGTTGCCCCTGTTACTCTCTGGGGTCCTTTTTCTCAGACAGGGAATGTATTTATGTTGTGTAGAGGAAAGCTTTAGACCCCAGAACCCTTGTCCTAGTCAGCTTGGGTTTCTTTAACAAAATACAACAGATGTTTTGACTTAAACAACAGACATTTCTTTTCTCACAGATCTAGAAGTAGGAAAGTGCAAGAACAGGTTTCCTGCATGGTCAGGTTCTTGGTGAGGACCTCTTCCAGGCTGGTCGATGGCTGCCTTCACACTGTGTTCTCACATGGCAGGGAGAAAAAACACTGGGTATTTTTTCCTCATCTTCAGGGGCACTAACCCACCATGGGAGTTCAACCCTCACAACCTCATCTGAACCCAAATTACCCCAGAGGGTCCATCTCCTAATAACATATTTATTGGAGGTTAGGGTTTTAACCTTCTGAAATGACTTCCAAAAACAGAATGTGCTCAAAGACTGAATGTTGAGTTGGGAATCTGGGGGGTTGTGGGGGTAGGAGAACAACACACAAACATTTTTTCATAACATCCCTCAATTATTAGAAATCTAGAAACAATTAGCTTGAATAAATAGCTTACAACCTCTTATGAACTTAAGTATGTTGTCATTCTCACCATGTTAGATATTCTCCAAGAGCTTCTCCTTTCTATTCCCCTCCCCTGCTCTGTGGCCCCAGAGAGTTGGAAGTATGGACTGCGTCTAGTGTAGCCCTCTACTCTGTCTTCTAGTTGTGTTTGGACAGCTGGAGGCACCTGCAGGAGATCAAACAGGAGGAAAATCAATCTGGGTTTTATTCTTTAAAGGCCCACCAATAGTTATATTTATCTTCCAAAGACCACAGGCAGGCAGCTTCTGGCTTCTGGTCACCAGAGCATTTCCTTGCCTTTCAGGCCTATGCTTAGCAATAATCCCCGTTGCTGGTTACCCTTACTCATTTCACACCTTTGAAAATGGTCTCTCATTTCTTAATGACCCACCCATCTTTTCCTAAGATACTGACTACATGCATATTCCCTATCTTCTTTCTCCATCTTACCAAAGACCCCCTCCTATTTGCTTTGTGAGTCCAGATCCCAGGGGATTCAGGGTAAGAGCCAAATCACAAGAAAAGGTCAAAGGCAGGAAACCCCATTCTGCCACATGGAGTGAATTGTATGAGTGATAAATCCAAGTCAAACTATAAACAGAGGCCTATATATGGAGGGACATTGTCAAGAATTGAAATTTTACCATATTTGGCTTGAAATGATGAAAATCCTATCCTCAGTTAAAGCTCTGCTACTCAGCTGCCAAATCAAACACTGCAGTATACTTACCAACTTGCATTATCCTTGTAACATTTAAAATGCAACATTTTTTTTGAAATTTTGCATACTATCATGTAGACATAACGGGTTTAACTTGAAAATATTTTAAGGTGCTTTTACTATCTTGATGAGGAAACACTTAGATATGGTGAAAACCACTCTGAGGGAAAATAGCAAGAGCCTTCTCAGAAGATTCTTGAAAGGCAGACTTGGTTCACATGTGCTCAGAGATTGGATAGCTGTTATTCTATTCGTTCCTTCACCCTCCTCCAACATCATATTTTTTCAGATAAATTCAGGGCCAAAATTAGTATAATGGACACTATCAGAGTGGAAAGCAAGTTACAAAAAGAGAAGCTTATAAGTTGGAACGTACTTTACCTTATACTGCCATAATGTCCTTCACTTTATTATTTTTGCTCAATACCCCTGTCCCTCTATAAATTCACAGGTTGACATGTTGACATGTAAAATGTTTTATTTTCCACAGTTTAAATAGCTGCAAAGTATGTGTAATCCAGAATAGTACAAATACTAACAACACTGTTTTTAGTGTACCCAGTGGAATATAATCATCACATCAATTTGATGCCATCATTATTTTATAATTTATGAATAAATACATGAGAAGTCTTTTTTCAATTGTCAAAAACATTACTTTGTCATTTTCTTCTTAAAATTATTATTCCTCCCTGGTGGTGCAAGGGGTTAAGAAGCAGCACTGTGAAACTATCTGCAGCCTCTGTAGCACGAGTTAGATCCCCAGCCAGGGAGCTACCCACATGGCTCAGCAGACCTCTCCCATCTGGCCAGTTGCTCCCCTCAGCACTGTATTTCAGTCAATTCACCTGTTCTGTTCCCCGCTCTGTCTCTGGTGAGTCTGCTCACCCCCTGCACCTCTGGCCTGTACCCTAGTTCTTGTATTCATAAATAAATAAATCTTTTAAAAAATTATTATTCCATGTGACTTCCTTTATAGTGTCTACAAATACAAATTAAGGTAATAATTTTATGTTTGAAAGTATTTTTGAACATCAGCATATTTCTTTACTACAAACATATGTCCATACACTGAAATTAATTTTTATTACTGGCAATTTTAAACATCTAAGAATAATAGGTTTTCTTCTGGAATGATTTATTAGTAAATAACAACACATAACAATGACTATTAAAGTACTGGTTGTATGTAATTGATCAAAATAATGTAAATATTTCACAAATTTTTTGTAATTATTAAAGATAAAATGAAATACATATTGGAAATGTTTATCATAGTTAGGAGGGTTATGGGTATTGTGTATATCTCCTTGAGTGGAGAAGACTTTGCTAACAGCAGTATTTTGAGGCCTTTTCCCAACCCTTCCTTTCCTGGAGGCTTTTACAACACTACTTTTCCTCACATACTCCTTAATAAGCCTCCAAATATCCACCAGTAGAATCTACAGATGAGATTCTACTTGTCCTATGTATAGTGATGAGAAAACACCCTCACAGAGCTCATGAAACAGCAGCACAGGACCCCTGTGCAACATCCTCTCCTCTACAGGGGAATTGTCCCAATCCCCTCATCTTTGGGGCGCTATTTTACTTGGTCAGCAAGCTCTGCCACGCTATGAATTTAAAAAATTAATTTGGGAAAAAAGTCCAATTACCCAATACTTGTTGAAATCTATTCTTTGTGTATATTGGTTCAGCTATTTTCTTTTCTTTGTTAAGAAATCGTTAAGATGATTTAAGCCAGCCTAGCAAAAGTGAGTAATTGACAGAACCAGTCAATTGATATAATCCTATTGAGTCTAAACTGCATGCTCTGCTTTGTATTGGATCTTCATAGTGCCTCAAAATTAAAAAAGAGAAATAGAGCTTATCTTCTGAGAATTATAGTCTTCCTAGATAAAATATACATTGCCCCCAGAAAAGATGTACTAATAAGTCTATATATTACAACTTGACTGCTACATGAAAAATCCAGGGGAAAGACATAAGCAATGGAATATTAATAACATGAAATGAATTAAGAACTTTCACAATGGAGAAAATATTTCAGGATAAAAGGATTCAAATTTATATTTTAGATATCCAGTATTTCCCCTGTTGGCATAAAAATAGATAGATAGATAGATAGATAGATAGATAGATAGATGGTTAGATAGATAGATAGATTTATAAGATATATACACACATTCTAGACAAATTAAATTTATAATTAGTGATTAGAAAAATGTAAATCAATGAATACTATATTCTGAAAGTTTATGTCCCTCCAAAATTCATAAGTTGAAATCCTAATCCCCAATACAATGGTTTTAGAGGGGCATTTGGAAGATTCTTGGGTTTTGAGGTCTTCGCCTCATTAATAGGATAAGTGTTCCTATAAAAGAGACTCCACCCAGCTCGCTCATCCCTTCTTTTTTTTTAAATTTATTTATTTAGTTATACAAGCACTGGGAACAGTCAGAAGCGCAGGAGGGTGAGAGAATTCACCAGAGCCAGAGCGGGGAGCAGAGCAGGCAGACTGACGAAGTACACTGCTGAGGGGAGCAGCGGGGTGGCAGGAGAGGTCTGTGCGCCATGTGGGACCCTTGCCTGCGGCCAGGGAACAAACTGGCGCTGCAGAGGCTGCGGGCAGCTTCTCAACCCAGCGCTCAACCGCTGCGCCACTGGGAAGGCCCTCGCTCATCCCTTCTATGTAAGGATGCAACCAAAAGATGACCAGGTATGAACCAGGAAGCCCTCAGTAAATAGTGAATCTGCTGGATGTTGTTTATAAAGAAAATGTGGTTTATAAACAAACTATCCACCCTATGGTATTTTCCTATAGCAGCCCAAAAAGTCTAAGACAAGTAGGTACCGCTTATCATACACTAGGATGATTATATTTTTAAAAGTAATAAATTACAAGTGTTAATGGGAATGTGAAGAAACTGGAACACTCACACATGGCCAGTGGGAATGTAAAGTGGTATAGTATCTTTTCAAAAAAGTTTGGCAGTCCCTCAAAAGACTGAACATAGTTATTATAACCCAGCAATCCCACCTCTAGGTATCTATGCAAGAGAAATGAAAAAAAATTGTCTCTTCAAAAACATTACAAAATGTTCATAAAGGCATTATTAATTATAATCAAAGAGTGTAAGCAAACCAAATGTCCATCAACTAATGAACAAATAATATCACTAAAAGGGATTATTATTCAGTAATAAAAAATGAAGTACTGATTTATGATGCAGCATGGATAATCATGGTACGCTAAGTGAAAAAAAAATTACAAAACGTCACATATTTTATGAATTCCCAGAATAGACAAATTGGGGTCGTGATGATAGTTACACAATTATGTGAACAAACCAAAACCACTAAATTGTATACTTTAAATTTATAAATACTATTGTATACGAAATATAGCTCATAAAGTTATAATTTGTTGAAAATGAATCCTAAAAGAGCATCTAAATTTTCCATATGGATTTCATCTTTCATTTAAACCATTCTACCAAATCATGAAAAGTACATGTATTTCTTTCTGCTCTTTTAGTCCAGTGTTTTCTGAAACACTTCTGAGTTATTTGAGCCAAACCTGCAGCCATGTGGGTGGCCCCTTCCCTGACCAGTGGTCAGGGTCAGCCCACTCCCCTTGCAGAGGCATGAGGCACTCCCATTCACTGGGAACATTGTCCACCTGTTTTCCCTTCTTTGCTTCATTGTTGAAGAGCTAGCAAAGTCCAGACTATTAAACTCCAAAGACTTTAGGAATTATTCCAGCCTCTTCATGTTAGCAATCAAAAAAGGCAATGGAGAATAATTCTCAACTATAGTTGGCTCACAATTTAGTTTTCATCTACCTTTGAAATAATTTATGTGTTTTTCTTCATAGACTGAAATTAATTCCATTTTTCATGCAATATCACCAGCACTTGCAGAGTATAACACTCTTGCTGAATAGAGGGCTGAAAGAAAATAGCAAAAAGCTGAGGCATCTCTAGAATTCAGAGAAAAGAAACAGCAAGATTGAATATTTGTTTTAGAATGATCATTAAATGTGTAATGCATAAGCAGATAATGAAAGGTTCATGGTTTTTATCTTCCAAATAAAATGCATTCATTTTCCAGTTAATGCTTCCAGAACTGTAACCAATACCTCACTTACGTCGAATATATCTATATGTCGAATACATACATATTCACACACAGTAGAGCCTTTCATATAAGCAAACACACTTTAAGTACATTATTAAAAGATTCCTTTCAAATCAGTGTGATATCTCAAGCTTGAGAACCAGGGTTAATTAATTCCCTATCCATTTACCTGATAGGAGCAGGAAGAAACTGACATGGGTCTTGGATCAAAATTCAAGAGACAGGTTTAAGTCCTAGACTTAACATTTAATAACCATGAAACTTTGCCAAATCTATGAACTTCTTCAGTCTCAGTTTCTTTTTCT